GTAGGAGGAGGTAGTAGTAGAGAGAGAGAGAGAGAAGAGAGTAGTAGAGAGAGAGAGAGAGTAGTAGTAGGTAGAGAGAGAGAGAGAGAGAGAGAGAGAGAAGAAGAGAGAGTAGAGAGAGAGAGAGAGAGAGAGAGAGAGAGAGAGAAGTGTTGTGTGGAGAGAGTGCGAGAGAGGTAGAGATTTCGGGTGAAGAGGGAGAGAATTGGTACAGAGAGGGAGAGAGTGACAATGACATTTCGGTAGAGAGAGTTTGAACAGAGAGAGAGAGAGGGGACATGCCGTAAATCCAAAAGTGTAAAATACAGGAGAAACTATCGAAAAGAACCCAAAAAAATTTACTTTTTGACTAGGGATAAAAGCAATACGAAATAGTATTAAGAGTGTGATACTAAAAGTATGGGGGTTAGTATGTCTACAAAGTTTATTTTGGGGGATATCCATAGTTTTCTTTACTTTTTAGATGGTTTAATCTAAGTACTAGGAACTCAAAATAAATAATACTCCTAGTGGATCACAAATTGTTGATCAAAAGAATATCCAAACTAGGTATTTTGCTCAAGTGACTATATAAAATGGTCCCATGGGATGTCCCTTTATGCACCCAATGTTAGGGTCTGTTTGGATGATGGTTAATTTTATCAAGTGTAAAATTATCGTATATGAAATTAAATACTTAGCATAACATTGTTTTATTTAGTGTTTAAAGACTCAGTGATCTGATCCGAAATCAGGTAATCTAGATTGCGTATTGGCTGGACTGTCCTGGATCTAACCATAAAAAACGATCTAGCCGTATTGTAAATCGCATGACATGACATTATGAAATCGTATCATGACGTTATGATTCGGGCACATCGATGGTTTTAGGTAAAAACGTATGCCTCACTGATTTTGTAGCAATCATATTTTTGAAAGTCATGAATTTTTTAATAAACAGGGAAAAGTCGCACCCAATTTTAGGGCATGTATTCGAAACCTCAGGTTGCTTGCATATCCATGCATGGCTTTCGCTCCATGTTATGCACATCTAAGGTTTTTATAGCGGTTTTGCCATTATAAACGGGACGATGTGGGAATTTTTTCCTTCGCGTTAATAGTGTAACTAGTAGTGAAGCTTGCATTAATTCTCCCCCTAATAAATTAATAGTGTAGCTTGCACTAATTCTCCCTCTAATAAATTAATAGTGTAGCTTGCATTAATTCTCCCCCTAAAAACGTAGCTTGCATTAAGTGCAAACCACGACCTATTATACATTATACTTATGTAATTATAAATATTAATAATACTATTGATTAATATAATTATAAATTTAAAATCAATTCAAACATTTCAAATTTAATATAGTTGTCTATAAGTGGCATTCTACTATGAAATTTTAATTATGGATATGATCACATCAAAATTACGTTAATATTATTATGTTCGATACATTTTAGGGTGTTTTGAGTAATTAATTTTAGATTATATGTTCTTGAGACACACAATATAATCATGAATTTTTTCTATTATCTTGTAATTATATTCAATTGTATTGTCAATTTATAATTATCATGAAAAAATAACATGTATTTTTCAATTTTATAGTCAATTATTTAATACAATAAAATGTATGCTGTTGATAAATAAATAAATTATTCTTGATAGTTGATACATAAAATATATGTGGCATTCTTCTTTTTCTCAGTATAAGAATACATGTTTTTTCTATTTTCTTGCAATTATATTCAATTATATGTCATGAAAACATAATTATCATGCAAAAAAATCTATATTTTTTAATTTTATTATCAATCTTTTAATATAATAAAATGTATATTGTTGATAAATAATTAAATTATTCTTGATAGTTGATACATAAAATATATGTTGTACTATTCATTCTCTCAGTATATGAATACATGTTTTTTCAATCGAGAGAATATAATGAGATGCAACATCGTGAGGACGGGCAAGAACGAAGCTGCCTTGCTTTTTGGTATTAGGTTGTTTTTTGTTTGTTGTACATTCCATTTGGACTTTGTATTTCTATCATTGATTATTGTAGGTTTTTTTTTCTAGTCATATGAATGAATGGTTAACACAACACATCTAGACAGGATAACAACGTCTCTGACTCTTAGTATTCACCTATTTTTAGAAAATAATGAAAATACATATTGCGCCACTCCTAATTTCTTTTAGAAACTAAAGAAACATTATTTTTAGAGATTTATAGTGATTTTTTGAAATTCTTTTGAGACAAATTTTTTCGATTCAGCCGATTCTCCTAACCGATCCATCGATTCTCCGATCCGACACAAGTATGGGTGTGACCGATTCGGGTCATCAATATTTTTTTTTAAACACTGGTTTTATTAATTGTTTGGTTCATAATATACATTACATATAGTATTATTCAATTACTTGTTTTCTTGGGTAATTTTCAACTATTTTTAGTTATTTTATCTAAAAGTATGTGCTTTCCAATAAATTACTTTGAATAAAATAAAAACAACTTTTCAAAAGATAAACTTATATATAAAATTGGCATAAGTTTAAATAATCAAAATAAGGTGCACCTCCAAACTTCGTCATGAGATACAATTTTGGTGTCTAAAATTCTTAAAATGGTGCAAGAACCTACTTTCATATCTAATTATAAATTTTTAAATTTAAAAAATAGTTCATAAATACATGAAAAATATTAAAAATTAACAGTATTAAAAATTAACAGTCTAGATAATATGTTGCCAGATATAATATTTTTAAGATTCGAAATCTGTTTTTTTCTCTATATCTATACATTGAAATGATTAATTGGATGTTTTTCCAGGCTAACCATTTTCGAAAGATTTCATAGATGCACCTTACTTCGACATTTTAAGGTGTCACTCTTATATAATCTATTTCCTAAATTAAGTGTCTCGTATAATTATAACAGCTCTACCAAACAATTGATACTATAGATTAATTTTTTTTTAATAATAAATTATTAGTAAGCCGTTAAGTATGACATGGAATTGACACTATAAAATGCAAGATTAACAACAGGTGTGTTTTCTTCAAGAACGAGACGCTACTTTTGGTTATGAAGTGACAAAGGGGTCTTTTCAATGCTCAAGCTAGGGTTGGCCTCGTAAAGCTAATACGGAAAGAAGAGAGA